ATAATAATAAATATAAACTAAAAATAATAAAAGAAAAAAAATGAATAAATAAAAAGAAAGATAATTAAAAATAATATGTGTCTAAATTAATAATATGATTTATATTTTACATCTAATCTATTTAGCGCAACATTAAGGAGTATTAAATGTAGATCTGTATTAATTTCTAATATATTATGCAAAAAAATAATAAATATAACATGAAAAATAATAGACATGATACAAGAAATTACAAGAGTATATGAAAATTATTATAGTTTGGTTCAAACTTCAAATCTTTCTTGAACTCAAGCCAAAGTCTGGTTTGAGTTTAGTTTAAATTTTGAACTGAAATTGAATCTGGATAAAAGTCCAGTTTGGTTTAGTTTATAAGAATACTACTACTAATAGATATCAAAATATTTCTAAAATTATTAAATTATATTAATCTAATTATAATAAAAACTATAATTTTTATTTATTTCACTTATTTTACAGATTTCACTCAAAATATCTTACATTTTGTTATTGTTTTATTTCAAGTTTTTATATTTTAAATTTATTTAAATTTTATTTTTAATTCTTTATAATATATTTTTTATTTTATTTAATATTTAAATATGCTTTATTTCCTATTTTTATAATGTAAAAAATTCTTTAAATAATTAAATTAATATATTAGTAATGATTAGTTAGAACTTTTAGACAAGAAAAAATATTTAAATATTGATTTTATTACAAATTAGATAATTAATTTTGATTTGAAGAATTTAGAATTTTTATTTGGAAAAATAAAAATTAATTATAATATTTATCTAATTAATGATAATTAAATTTGTAATTTTGATGCAAAATAATATATTATACTAGTAGATGATATATATTAAAATTATCAAAATTAATTCAATTAATTAGTTATTGATCCATCTGTTTATTTTCTATATATAATAACGTTTATTATAATAATAATATTTTATATTTTACTTCATTTGATCTGGCTTATTCTCTATTTCTTTTTGAAATATTAATAATACTTGAAGAATTTGCTTCAATTATTATATATACTTACTTTTGGTATTTTGTACTTTTCAATTTAGTACAGTATCCATATAGTAATAAAATTATTATAGGTAATATTGTTTTCACTTTGACTTTTTTGTAAGTTTTATCTAGTGATTTAAATTTTATACTAAATATTTGTTGTATAGCTACTTGTTTAATTCTCAAATAAACAAGTTAATTTAATAAAGTAATGTTTCTTAATAAAATCAGATAAGTTTTATTTTTCTTAAAATTTTCAGTTAATATAATATTATTTTAAATTATAATTATTATAATTTAAATTAAATTTTTGTATTTATCTGTTTTAATAAATATTTATCTATTTTAATATAATAAAAATAAATTTTTTTATTATTTTTTTATATAAATAAATTCATTTTTATGAATTAATTATAATATTCTTATATTTGTACTGCTATAATAATAATAATAGTAATAATTATAATAATATTATTATTAAAAATATACTAGTTAAATATAATTCATCCTTGATAATAATGATAGTAATAATGAAAATAATAATAATATCAATAGATATCTCAAGCCAAATAAATTTGTTGTTGAATATAATCTATATTTTACAAACATATTATTACAAAAAATCATTAAGTTATGTTTTAATAATATTTCAGCAGATTTGTAATATTATAAAATTACATGATGCTTGATATTATTATATTAAAGTAATCATTCAAAATTTAAATATCACATTATTATAATCTTCACTTAGATATTCTCTAAAAAAAAATAATAATTTTAATTTAATATAATGCGAATTATGTTACTGAACTTGTTTCAAATTACTAATAATTTTTTTGAATAATAATCTCTCAAAATATCATAATATCAAATGATACCAGCACAAAAATTAGAAACTAATACAAAATATAATTTATACTCTTCCAAACATATTATTGAAAGTAAAATTATTCAAATTACATTTTTTCACAACATCAAAAATTTGAAAAATAATAAAAGAAATTTGATTTATAACAGTATGAGAAAGAGAAAATATAAAAATCTGTGAGAAGTGCAAAGAAGAATAAAAACTTTATAATATCAATGATCCATATTACAAAATAAATATCACATGATTTGTATTACAAGATGATCAATGTGACCAGTGTGGCGTTACTTGGTCACGGAACTACTCCGCTTTAGCCATTCCCCGTATTAGATAATATTTAGAAGGGTAAAGCTGGATCTTAGATACATAATTAAGCATTTTTGATTGATTGTATAATATTTTACCTGGGAATGGGGGTGAATCTCTATCAAAATGATATTAGGTAATAAATGTCAGTGCCCTTATCAATAAAAGAAATTATTCCATCCACGCTTATTTTCTCAAGCAATCACTATCTGACATAATTTCTTATCGTTATGAAAAAGCGTGATCTTTTTTTTTACTTATCGGAATTTTCTATTTTTGGCGAGAAGAAAAACTTTTTTTGTGTTCATGCTAGATATTGGCTCTATTATAAATTATTGTGCAGGATATACAAACACACGCGTCATTAATCACCAAAAAATTTGGCAGAGGGTAAAGACTAGTGCGAGAAAAACAACTGTACCAATTTTGATCAATTAATTTTTGTAAGATGACTTAACTTTAGTAGTTCTTTTAAATAGTAATTGTCTTTTAAATGATGACTTCTGAGTATATAATCCATCTACCGTAGAGTACTGCCTATAGTACCCTAAAGTACACTCTCAATATCTGTAGTAACGGAAAATGACAAATCCAACATCAGTATTAGGCCTGGAAAAGGCTTTGTTATAAGTTTGGAATAAAAGTCAATACTGCTGGGAAATATTTATCTGGGCAATAGAACTGGAGCACCACAAAATAAAAGTGAAGCATTCGAGTTTTTTTCAAAATAGCAAATGAACATACAGCTGCTCAACTCAGTCAACTTAGGGCTCCGAACGGTTCGGTACCGACCGATCGGTTTACTGATCGGTCAGTAATTCCAACAAGATTATCCGAACCGAATGGATCGATCAGTATTGGTAACACACTTCAAAAGAAAATAAAGTATATAGTATTAGTATATACATGTACATGTATATACATTTTTTATCTATAAATGATAATAAACTGTTTTATGTACAGTACCCCAAAAAGTATCACCCCGATTTACGCGTCTAACCATTTTTCAACGCTACAATTTTATTAGGTTAAAAAATGACGCCCACCTAACTAAATTGAAAAAGGGAAGCTTCTGGCATACATGGATATCACAAATGCCGCTCAAATCGCAAAAATGCTTGGACGCGACCCCACAACGATACGTCGCTTTATTAACAAATATAAACGAACAGGAAAAAATGAAAACTTATCACGTTCAGGAAGACCACCAGCCCTTAACAACCAAAAAAAGGATTTACTTATAAGTGAAGCCAACGAAAAAAGACGGCACCACTACGCGAAATAGTCAACAATTTAGGCCTCACTTGTAGTTTATCAACTCCGGACTTAACTCATGTATCGCAGCAAAGAAACCCTATATCTCGGAAACACATGCACATGCTCGTATTAAATGGTGTGAAGAAAGTAAAAATTAATCAGCTTATGATTGGACGAAAATAAAACTAGTGTTGAAGTTGGAAAGCAGTCACGGCAGCCAAGAGTTTGGCAGCATCCTGGAGAAAAGTTTAATGTTAATTGCTTGGCTCCTATCTTAAAAGTGGACGAAAATCTGTAATGGCTTGGGGATGTTTCGCGGGACAATTAAAATGACAATTAATTTTTGTGATGAATATAAAAAAATGGCGAAAAAATAACTACAAATACTTAGCTTGAAATCTTAAAAATTCGTTTATTACCATTCCAGAAAGCAATTTAAGGAGTTAACTGGAAGTTACGCAATTTTCAACAAGACAATGATGCGCCGATTCATACTGCGGGAAAAATTAAGGAATGGTTAACGGAAAATAAAATCACGATTATTAACTGGCTGGCTAATTCTCCAGACCTGAACCAATAGAGAACATTTGGAAGATAATATTAAAAAAAAATGAGATCTTTCCGAAGACTGGATGAACTTAAGGTCGCATTAAAGGTGGAGTGGGAAAAAATCGATGTGGCCATTTAGAACGGCATCAATGCCACGAAGAATTAATACAGTATTGGAGTCAAATGGAGGGCCGATTAAATAAATTTTATTTTTATTTGTTGTATAATTGACGAAAATCAAATAAATCGGATAATAATCACAATTTTATTTTTAATCTTGCATCGGGCGATACTTTTTGGGGGTACTGTACGTGATAAATCCTTATGTATTTGGCTTAGCGTTAGCATTAGCAAAAGATGAAAGGCATCGGTAATTTCGGTAAATTCGTTCGGTTCCGATCAATTCGGTTAAATAACGATTTGTAAAAAAACCGATCCGATCGGAGCAACTTTCCCTAAATGCAATCCGCCGGGACCATATTAATCAGAGATTGCATTTATAGAGTATATGAAAAATGATAATGCAATGCATTGTCATTTTCCCTCTTTTGCCAGCACTCGTCCCATATATTTAAAGGTTTTACGTACTTGGTTGGTGTTATCAATGTGGAAGCGATACAAATAAGATAAATCGAAAGCGTTTTAATGGTACTTAAAAACCTCAAATATATCTTAGCGTTAGTAATTGTTATTGTTTTCGATTTGAAAAAAAATTAAAATCAAATTCGAGGCGTTCAATGGTTTCGTCAATTAGAGTTTAGTTTTTACTATGCGAGACGAGACAGCTAAAAACGTTCAAAAGATCAACTTCGTTTTTGTTGCAAGTAAGGAGTGTATGCATGATTCAATTATCGTTAATTTCATTTGCAAATTGTTATCAGCAAGCTATTTATTTCATATTATAAACGAAAATTTAGACAACTCATTAAGAATTAGATTATTTTTGATTATTAAATTCTAAAATTGCCTTTAAAAAACACACAAAAAAGAATAATAATAGTTATCCAAACACCATAATGAAGAGACCAGCAATGGAAATACCACTATACCCAATCCATAACCCGAATAATTCTATTGAAAGTATTCTGGCACCACTAGAAGTTTGTGTGGGTGTAAGATTGGTTGAGGATTTTGAGGGTGAAAAACCTGGAGTAGAAGGACCGCCGGATGATCCAATAGTGTTACTTGTAGGTGCCTTTGTAAAAAGCAAGGTGGAGTTAATATTCAATAAAGGCGACGACAAAAAATAAAAATAGAAATAATTTGTAAAGTGTTAATATTTTGGCTTACTTTTGTTGGCGTTTGTACAGTTGGTACAGTTGGTACTGTTGGCGCTGTTGGCGCTGTTGGTGCTGATGATGGTCCTGATGGTAATGGTGATACTAATCCTGTTGATGAAGGTCCTGATGGTCCTGATGAAGGTCCTGATGGTCCTGATGATGGTCCTGATGGTCCTGATGATGGTCCTGATGATGGTCCTGATGGTCCTGATGGTCCTGATGGTCCTGATGGTCCTGATGGTCCTGATGATGGTCCTGATGATGGTCCTGATGGTGGTCCTGATGGTGTTCCTGATGGTGACACTGGTGATACTGCTGGTGATACTGGTGCTGGTGATACTGCTGGTGGTGATGATACTGGTAGTGGTGTTGACAATTGATCTTGAGCATTCGTTGTTGATATAATAGAAAAAGAGATAAAAATAGCGACAATGGCGAAGAATTTTAGATTATAACGTTTTTTGTCATAATTTTGAGACATCATTTTTTTTAATTTCGTTTGTTTTAGAAATATAAAATCGAGAAGAAAAAAGATACGGAAAAATGTGTGGGTTGTTAAAAATTCAGTGAGAAGTCCTTCCTTTTATACAATTGAATGATCTATATGTATAATGCATACCATACTAACGCTAAATAATATGTTTATTTCTATGAATATTTTCCAAAAACTTTATTATTCTTTTGATTTGTGTACGCCCAATTTTTTTTCCTGCTGCAGCTGAAAGATTATTGTCATTTTTATTAATCAACTTGAATAGCATATACTACCGTTCGTCGTTTGTGATAAACATACATGTACATCACACTTAGATACACCGCACACCGTCTCTTTCTCGTTAGCATCTCCTGCATTTTTGACGCACATACCAGTGCATCATCAACCTGACACTACTCTTCCGGTTTCTGATCATGTTTCTTTTTGCCTCATCGAATGTTCTCATTATTTACAGTTTACTCGATTTCAATAAGACTTGCGCTATTGTAATACTATTTATTTATTTAATCTTGTGAAACACAATCTCAAGGGGGAAAAAGAATTAAGAAAACTTGTTTTTATAGCATTAGACAGTGAAACTGCTCTCACAATCGATTCGCCAAAACGAATTATTAATTTTATGCAAAACTAACATTATCAGCTATGCAAATCCTATCGTTACTTTTAAAAAAAACACGACATAATTAAATGTGCAAAGTGTTGTTTTGTCAAACGCCCATTTACTTTTTTGGTTTTCACGGGGAGTAAGTCTGGGTACCTAAACTGTATCAAACACAAACACATTTGATTAAATTTTTCCTTATTTAACTTTCAAAAATAAATGCGTTACAAATTCTACAATGTGAGCAGAATTAGACAGAACAATTATGGAGTACGTATGAGATATTTATAGAGTACAGTATTTTTGATATTTTTATAGACTGTACGTATTTACTTATTTGAAATACAGATAGAGCTAATAATATCGATATAATTGCTAAAATTATCATCAAGTCGTTGAAAATAAACAGCATCGTCAGTTGCAGTTATTTTTGTTGCTTGACATAAGATATTTCAATGAATATGCGTATACGTACAGAAATTTTATACGCATAATTAGATACATAAACTTTTGTTATATTCTTGCAAAAAGTTTCGCGTTAAATATCATAAATTATCACAAGCCATTAATGTATTTTTAAATTAATAGCTGAAAACTAAAAAAAAAAATAATTAATATTTATAGTTTATACCACATTTATCATGCTTCTCTGATAGTGTATGTGCGTAAATGTTTAGCTTATACTAATACTGAAGAGAATTATCCTTGTTTATATCAATATGCGAGTTGAAAATAAATAAATATTTCAAATAACACTTGAACGCTTTAACCTCGTTTTAATTTCCTACTCATAGTAATAATAGTCAAGCCTGAATTATGAGTTGAAGTATCCGTTCAAATGTTTTAGTTGTTTCAATCCCAAAACGATAACAAGCACGATATATTATTCAAGGCTTTTAGGTACCATTCAAATGCTTTCGATTTCCGATTTCACATTGACAACAACACCAAATGAATACACAGTACGGTGACTATAATGTATCAAAAAAATCGGAGGGTTCCGTTCCATAGAACAAAAATTCGGTTTACAAACCGGATTTATAATAGTCAAAAACCCGATTCCGGTTTCTATATAGTGTCCAGTTTAACGAGCGTCCGGTTTAACGGATATATAGCTAATTTAGATATTAATCCACTACAAAGAGCGTGACATATATATAATAGTTTCATTTGCTGTTTTGATGTTTCGGTAGCATTGTCCCAGGTAATACAAGTAGACCACAGTTAAACCGAAGTAGGAAAAATTTTAAAAATTCAGTTTATTGAGGCGGGTTTCCTGAACCATCTTCGATTTTATCGAGACGGGTTTATTATAACTATTCCTGGAACTAAATTCGGTTTTAATTAGTACTTCGATTTAACGGGGCGGGTTAACTGTGTATACCAAAATCTTTTGAAACTCCAAATCCGCGTTATAACATCCAGTCAATTTAAATCGAGAGATCTTAATAGCACTCGAATGCCTTGCTTTCATCCCTATTAGTTATTAGTTCGAGCTCCGCGAAAGAAGCATTTCGCAAGATAATGAAAATAATATTGGGCTTCGAATCTTCTAACTTCTGAAATAGAATAAATACATTCTTTATATCTCGATTGGTTCCTCTTCCGAAATATTAATTTAAACCTTGATGGTATTGTGCTTTTAAATAAACATTCGGTGTAGATTTCGAAATCCACTCAAATACTTTATCTTAATCTCCATATCATAATACATGTAGAAACCAAAATGCATTCTATTGTCTCCATTTTCTATGATTTCGCATTTCAATAGATCGTGTTTTATAAATCCAACATACCAAATATAATCTGTGAATGTGCTCAAGGAAAGACTATTTTATTATATTCACAAATTATATATTGTATTTATTTCTTACCTAAGAAATATTGAATTTATAAAAAATATAAAATATAATTTATTGATGTAGAAATGAAAATGAATTAAATATTTTATTTTTAACGCAATTTTTTTCGATTAGTTGCCGGATGCAATTAGAATTACAAAAAATTGGCAAAGAAATGAAATTTTCGTTCTTATTACAAGCGTTATGTTTTTTTTTTTCATTTTGTTTATTACTATTGCTATGACAGAAATTTTTTTTAAAGACCTCAAAGTAGTGAAATTTTCATCAATGAATTAAGATAAGACAGTAATTTGTTTATATTCTCTAGCATTATACCTATTGAACAACAAAAGACATAACGCTAAAGATACAACTCTGTATATCCATATGCCGTTGCGCATATTTGTGAAATTTTAAAACTGTGGAAACACCTAATTTTGCAAATACGGTAATTAAGGACAAAGTTTAATCTTTATCCAGAGTATCTTGAAGCAAAATCCTGTAAGCATGAACAAACGAACAATGAAGAGAGAATAAATTTTTCTTTATATCTTGGATTTTTAAATAGCACACTTTATATATTGTTGATAAACAGGAAAGGAATATTATATAAAAAGAGAACGACACAATTTTAACAAGAAAGTTATAGACTTACAGTAAATACTGATATTGATTTTAAATTTAAAACGCTTTTATTAAAAAATTATTAATTTGATTAATCTGCTTATTTTTCTTTTTTAGTTCATACTTCAAATATCAGATGAAAAAATACATTGAATAAAATCAAATTTCATTAAAAAAAGAATTATAATACTTCGCACCAGTTGAAAGGGCATAACACACACTCAATAATATACAGAAAACATCGAGACTATATTGATTGCAATTTGAATCTTTCTATCACAGATCTCGTAATAATTTTTAAATTAGTGTTATCATCCTTTATCAATTGATAACAGGATTTTAGTGTGAACCTGTATCAATCGTAGAGGTTGTGTTTGCGATTTCTATTAGTTTTGAAATGAACTTTGTTGTGATTGTCAGAGGGGGCGGAATAAATGAGTAAATTTCTGTTCTTCTGACGGCTTGTGTTATTTTATTTTGTATATATGCACAAATTATTATTATTGACATTATATCGATATAAATTTGTCGATGTAATGAATCATTATTGTTGTCATAATTTTTGTCTAATTCGTTATCAAAGAAAGTATCTTTTGTATAATTAGCTTTTAGAGAATGTGATTGAAAGAAAAATGAATTGAACAATCACCTTCGTCTTCTTTCGTAATACAATATCATTAGGCTCAAATCATCAGAATCAAAGCGGGTATTCACTATCAACCGTCGTAAATTACACTCGATGTGTTCACGTCGGTTCTCCAGAACACAATTTATTCCAGATCAAAAAATGTGTACCACCAGCCCAAATTAGAATAGGGTACATCTAAAGTCATTTGTATTTTATAAAGGCTTATTCTACCATATTTACGGATTAAATTTTGAATTTACTTAGTTGAGAAGTTTGTACATTTTTTAAAATACAAACGTTTGATGACTTTAGATGCACCATATCTTCGTAGAAAACTATGATCCTCATTATTTATGGCGTAATCATCAAACTTGAATAACATTACGAACAGATTTTATAATATACGTAGCAAAGAAATAATTTATTTAATTAAGTATATATATTATTGAATTGTTCTTTATACTATATTTCTTTTGTTACATCTTCTTTATGGATAGTTGAAACGACTTCATTATGTTGTATGCAAACTCTTACTACTAAGCTGTAGTCTTTTGGAGGTTGGCATTCATTCAAAGCATTCCAAAATAATTACAGTGGCTCACACATGTAACGGAACACGAAAATTAACTTTCTAGCATTTTTATTTCCATGACTATTAGTTTGGAC